TCATTCTCTTAGCACAACGTTACATGTGAAACGGATTCAAATAATTCACATGCTAGCCCGACTCAAACGGTAGTCGGTAAAGGCTTATCAAATCCGTTGATGGCTGAGGGTTTGCCAAAAATCCTATGCATGTTCGTAGGTCCATTAGCTTAATAGATGTGAGCCGAGACTTGAAACAGATGAGTTAAAGACAAGTCTCAAAGACTTAGTCAAAAATACACGGAAGCCACTTCCATGTCTTAAGTCAAAACGCTGAGGTCAGACCCGCGATGCAAAAACCAAACGCGGAGGTAAGACGCTGAGGTTAGACCCGTGATGCAAAAACCGAACGCCGAGGTCACACCCGTGTTCCAAATTCAACATGCAAGGGTGAGACCCGCGTCTCAAGTTCAAAACGTAGGAATACATCCCAACATTCCAGAAGCAGGATTATGGCGCATACCTTCACACAGGTCCTACATGGCAAATTTCTTCAACCAAGATACCTTCGAAGCGAGTGCAGAGAACGACTCCTTTATAACAAGGAATCAACAACTCCAGGATCAGAGTTGAGATCCAAAGTATTCCGAAAATTCGTCCCAGTCAACCGCGAACTTTCGAAAACTTTGGAGGGGGTTCTGTAGGTTGTCTAAAAATCACAATGGATAGCTGATCCCCATCAAGCCCCGACAATGAAAGTTACAATCAGACGACTTTCTAATCACTGCATCCGTAACTCTACAGTTGCTACAAATACGGCCTCATATTTGAGATGATTGATCTTGATGGCTGCGATAACAACATGACTAATATTATATTAGCAACTATTAGAGATGCTGATGAGCAGTATGATGATTTCAGAAATAAAAGGTTGGACTTAGTTGGTGAGTTGCTTGGTAGAGAGCTGTGGGCAAATATTCGTCTAAATATCATAATGGATAATTGATCCCCATCAAGTTCCAACAATGAAAGCTACAATCAGATAGCTTTCATGCCAACAAACGAAAGCTGCAAACGGAGGACTTTTCACATAGATCGAGAAGAGTTATAATTCAACGACACTTCCGACAACTGATGAAAACTCTATTCAGCAGTCTTCACAATCTACAGTGAAAGTTACAATCTGATGACTTTCACACTCCATAACAGCTAAAGCTAGGATTACTGAACAACGGTCCTTGCAACGCTCTGTAGAAGAGGTTACAGATCAACTAACCCCTTTTAAAACATGGAAGTCATCCCCGCGTTACAATTCTGGAAGTGCAGGCGACCCCCGCGTTTCCAAGCTACAACAAGTCAAACGCGAACGACCCTCGTGTTCTTGAGGTTCAACCAACACCCGACCCCAGCGTTTCCAAGCTACAACAAGCAAAACACGAGCGACCCTCGCGTTCATTGATGTTCAGTCAACACCCAACCTCGCGTCTCAATTCTAAGACGCGAAGTTGGGGTTCTGAACGCCGGATTGGGCGTTTGACTCGTTCAAACATGAGTCGAACGGTTCAGAACTGTTTTTCCCACGATCTGAGGAAATCACGCCCACTTAAGAGCGGATTTAGAGGGCAGTTACAACCTCTTATCCCCCTATAAAAACTCAACAAACCCAACGGAGTAAAGAGTTGGATTTTTAGCATCTAAACCGCACGGGTTTGGAGGTTCTTCATGATCTCAACCGCACAGAGAGACAGGAGAGACGAAATCCTTGGAGATAGGATTTTTGAATCGAGTTCAGAAGATCAAATCTGAAAGGATTCTTCAACAACAGAATATATGCTTGGTCATTAATCGAATCTTCGGTTCTAACAACTCTATTCACAGAGTTCTAACTCGTTCAGAGTTCTAACTCGTTCAGAGTTCTTAAACTCAGAGTTACCCATCAAACTTTCCATAGAAGTTCATCGTTCCCACGAGATAAAAGACGATCGGATCATCAACGGAGAGCAAATTCGACGCGAACAATCGAAGGAGGCACTCCATCGCTACCTTGAAGAACCCAGTTTTAAACAAAGGGGAGAATCAAATTCATTCTCCTCTCTTTTGTAATCGGAATCCAATTGTAATCGATTTTGAGAGAATACAGATTAATTTTTTCTTTCGTTTCTTTTACATCGAATTTTTCCACCAAACACACAGTAAATAGGAATTGATGAGAAATAGGAATGACATTTCTAGCATTTAAAAACACGTTATGTTTGTTAAGTATGAATGAGAAGTTGGACTCGAATGATAATGATAGTGACAGTAACTCAAACGAAAGCCCAAGCCAGGCCCATTTTAGCAATTCCCACATAAAAGTTAAAGAGGAAGTTTTCTGATAATCCCTATACTTAAAAGGTGTTTCTGATATTTTGAAAGTTATGAAAGGTTATCTGATAATAGTTCAAAGTTAAGGAAGATTTTCTGATATTTAGCCAATTAATTATTATAGTATCACATGCAAAATTGTACCGTTAATGTACCATGTTCTTGATATATTAACCCCTATATAATTATATTGCATTTTTGTCTACTCTTTACACTTCATTTACCTCTATTATTAGGCAATTTCTCATAATTGACCTATGATTGAACCAGACTTAGTTTTGAGAACAAGTGCTTCTGTTTTTATCCAATCTCTTCATGGATCTAAAAAGAACCAAATTAATGGGGTTTTTTTTAGCCTAGTTATCCCAACAAAATTCCTCTTAAAATAGGACCTGGTTTACACTGACCTCATTTTTGAAAGTAGTCAAACATGCCGCCTCGTTTCGTATACGGGAATGAGTGAGAATGGAATGGAATTTTAACTTTTTATTCATGCTTAACAAACATAATGTATTTTTGGATGCTAAAAATATCATTTTCACTTCTCATCAATTTTCAATGAATTGTTATTACCACTTAAGTAGGGATGAAAATAATAAAATAAGTTCCGGATATACCCTTTTTAAATATATTCTTATTTAATTCTTTAATCGCACCTAAACGTAAGAATAAGAGTGAATATTTTATTCCTACATTAATTTCATTACATTTCTACATTCATTCCAATAATTTGTGCTAACAATTCTAACTGAGCATCGTTTTCAGGGCCCTTGTCTTCATTGCTTGGCTGACATCAATCTCCATTGACTTGTGCTCCATCTCAAAAGATTGAAGATGGTTAAACAATTTCTTGTCCTATGGATGCGACTTTTGCGTAAACAATCCAAGCAATATCTCTATCACTCTTACGCCCCAACAACAACAAATCACAATTTTGCAGTTTATACAACTTCGTGTGCAAACTACGGTACTACGTCCTCAACCTGCAAATTTGTCCCGGTGAGTTTCTGACAACTTGCGCTACACTTCACCTGGCATTAAATTCTTCAGCTGGGCTTTAATGGATTTTGATTACAGCTGCTCTTGATTTTTCTTTGAGATGTGTACCTACCAAATGCATGAAAATGAGCTAAAAGGATATAAATTGCTATCAATACTACTTTATTTTGCGAGAAGAGGGAACTTAATTCTAATATTAACCCAAGTATGATTAGTTAGATTTAGGTACCACCGAAGATATAGATAAGATGGATTATGTACGCAATTTTACCGATCAATGAACAACTGTGATTATATAATATGTAAACCGCGTGGAAAACCTAAAAATGGAGCAGAAAGCAACTCATAGACAATTATAAGATTCCTATAATGTTGTTTGTTTTAGGAAAGGTAAAAAAAACAGCAAATACCCTAATTCTAAGAAAAGCATATTCCTAGCTTTTTGAAAGGAATTAGGGCCCGTTTGGTTGCTGAAGAGGGCTTGGGAAAGCCTGTCTAAACTGACAAAAACTGTCGGTTTTGACATGTTTTCTTGCAAAAACGTCATTTTTTGAGGCGTTTTTGCAAGAAAGCCTGTCAAAACTGACAATATTTGTCAGTTTTGACAGGCTTTCTGCCCATTTCAACTCCTCTTTTCAGCAACCAAACGGGCCCTTAGCACAACCTTATTAATTACCGAGTCACCTCGGCTTTTCCACTATTTTTCTCATTTTTCTACTCTCACATTTCTTATCGATTTTGGTTTTCTAAGAGGTGCATGGAAAGCAATGGATTTAGTTTCTTGGACTAGATTTTCATTTCCCATATTATTAGGAAATGAACCAAACAGCCCCTAAGACTACAAGGAAACTTAACCACTCGTGCTCTCATCTGAAGATTTCACTGATGAGGCAGGCCCTGCCCCCAACAAGAACTGAAGGAGGCATGATCAGCTGCACCAAAAGAACATTAGACAACTGCCGTGTATCCTTGGTCCAATAATCCTAATAATGAGATTTAAGCTTTTGTTCAGAGAGCTAGCTCATAATACAACTTGAGAGGGAGCCGCATTTATTTATGAGATTTAAGCTTTTGTTCAGAGAGCTAGCTCATAATACAACTTGAGAGGGAGCCGCATTTATAAGGCTGGGGCCTGATCTGTCAGCTGCATGCCCAAAGTTGAAGAAAGCACCCTTTCTTGTTAGTCTGAACTTGATTTACATGGAGAATACATAGTATCAGTCCCAAAGTAGCAAAGTTAAATATAACACCTACAGGAGTTCAGATTTCAACCCCATGAACAGGGTGATCAATTTGCACGAACGTGTTAGATTGTCGGACTAATGGCACAGATCACATGCACAGATCACATGTAGTATCGCTGTTTTGAATATATACTGACATGCCAATTCACGCTAGAGTATAAAATCATAACTCTCAACCCTCACCATAGTAATGACTCCAGAGTTTTGGTGAGAGGAGTTTAACAGTGACTAATACATCCACATTTCTTTAGGCCCTGACTTTCAAATATCCTAATCCTCAGGAGCGTGCTCTTGTAGGAATTATAACTTAATGGTTGCATCTCATCCTGAATTCTTCCCTTTGTTTTCAATTGTGCACAGATCCATGCCTTCAACTCTACCACAAGACCTGCCATTTTCTTGCTTTTTCATGATTCTGTGCAATAAAGCAACAACAATGAACTCATGGTAATAATAACCATTTACAGCAAAAACTCATAGAGCCATACCCTGAAAGAATCATAATAACAGTACTTTTTTCTCTACAACATCAAGTATGCATGCAATTCTTTAACTCTCCTCTTGAAAATCATAAAATAAACCAGAAGGACTGTACGAATGATTGCTTGTTCCTAGGCATTCTAACACATCTTCAGTCTACAAAAGCACACTGGAGGCCCCAAAAAATACAAAAAAAAAAAGGAGGAAGGAATTACCACAACTTGATCAAAAGAATTATACAAAATCATATGTATAAAAAAATGGCAACTTGTCCTCTTATTTGTTGCCCTCATCAACTGATTTTTTGTATAGTTAGCAGTTAATTAGCCCTGTTTTCTCACAGATAGTTTCGGCCCCAGTTCTTGGTTAGTAAGCAAAATTGCAATCCTGATGAGAACAAAAAGATGAAAGTGAGAACACGGAAAACGAAGTTATAGAAGAGCATTAACTCAAAATTTAAAACTAAAAGCAAAGGAGAAGTTACCTTCAAAATTATTGGCGAAGCAATTGTCCCTTCTTCTCATAATCACTGTTAGTAAACAACGACAACAATAACAACAAAATCAGTGTTATATGAAAGAAAAAATGTATATATTATTATCTAAGAAGATGGTACCTTTTTCCTTGTGTGGTCATTGCTGACATTTGAATGAAAAGGTCCAGATCACCTTGGCCTTTAAGAGAAGCAAGACATACTAATTACATTCCTAAGAATAGTCAGAAACTCAAAGATTCGGTTTATATGTAAAAAAAAAAGTTCACAATGTATGCGAGAAAGAGAGAACCATTTCTTCTTGTTTACTAGTATCTTACCAAAAAAGGAAACAACAACTAATTCTCTGATACTAGAAATTGCATCCTCCTTATTCAAAAGAAACTCAGTTCAGTGTATCCATGTGAACAAGGCAAGAGTTCTTCCACCTCAACTCGAGAGGTCAAGCAATTATTCCTCCTGATTTTGCTACAATTAATCAATTCAACCTCTGCTGTTAAAATGCTATACACTGGTCTATGATCAGAGAATCTCGACTCTCCACGAACATAAGATAACTGATTGAGGCCTCTTCCATACCACAAGATACGATCACACCTTATGAACAAAGACGAATAATCCCATATCAGCTAATGAAAATTATGAGAAACAGTATCCTTTTCTCAAGTAGATATTGTCGTAAGTTTTATACCAAGCTGGCGTTCTTCGCTTCTCTTTTGGATTCATGTCATCACCAGCGTATCGATCTGAGTTATTTGAATACTTGTATGTTGGAGGAAAACATATTCTTCCTTCTTTCCAGCCACTGAAAACACGACCAGATCGCTGTTCTATTCTAAGCTGTTATCATAAAGTAATTGAAGGTTTAGATGAAAGCAAGAATAGCATTTTCTTTGGATCACAAGAATTAATATCTTAAGAACTTCATCACATTTTCTTTAAAGAAAGAAAGTCACCTGATCTTTGTCCAACAATGCTCTCCAATTATGCATCTCCACTAGAGCCTTTGCAGATCGATATGAAAGTGCAATTCGGTAATTCAAATCCCCAAGCCATATTACTCGACTAAAACATGGACAGATAAGACTTATATAGATTGCCTGAGAAAAGAATAAATTGATGAATTGAAATATTTCTACTTTTCTCAAAAAATTCTTTATTCTTACTCATGATCAAGAATAGTCTCAGGTGATTTCTCATCACTTTTCCCATTAACCCGTGGGAATCGGGTTTTCCTCAAAATTTCCATTACATCAGAGTTCCTCCTCAATTCATCCCCCTCCTTCTGACCTGAAGTCAAATGGCTACAAATGAAACAGAAGCTTGTTTGATGCAGAGTCATGCTGATTGAAATCGAACCCTGTAACAACAAGAAAAACACCTAATTATTAAATACAATCATTCATTTCTTGCTTCTTTTTACAAGAAACAGAAAAACAAAAACTTAGTAGTGAATAGTAATTGAATGAAATTTGGGTACATAAAGAACACTCTTGCTGAGAAAAGAGAAAACGATCACCTTGTTGCCAAGATAGCCCATCAAGCCCCTTCCAACACAAGAAACCTTCATGCTCTTCACATTATCTCTTAGCTCTCTTCGTATCCAGATCATAAGAAATATTCCAACCATCTGCTTGCTAGCAACCAAGCAATACCTAGAATTATCCAAGCATGAAGTAGGTCAGTCACAAAGGCATAATAAAATGATGGGTACATTACAAAATATCCCCCTATGGTTTGTAAGAATTACAAAAATATTATCATGAAAGTCTTAAAATGACACTTTATTAAGTTCAAATTTATACTCAAATAATCATCAATCACTTCAATGTTACCATCAGTTTTCAATATAATAATCACACAGATGTTTATATGGTATATAATCACACAGATGTTTATATGGGAGTCGAGAAAATTGTCATAAGCTATGAATACAAATTTGAATCCAAGTGAATTTAACAAAAATTGAAATAAAGGGAACAAAACTTATAACTTTGAAACATTAGGTAGATCTCTTTTGGTAATTTACCCTTATATAGTTATAAAACATTTAGTATATATAGAGAAAATTTTCTTCATAAAAAAATACCGAGAGCTTCCTCTAGACCTTTCTCGCTCCTCCATGACCGGTTGAACACCATAACCATAAGACATTGACGAGTAGAAAATGCTACTTGGAGACTCACGGCCGATATTCTCTTCATCATCAGAACCCCCGCATTTGAAGTTAGCATCAAAATCACTCGGTCTACTTCCAAAACTAACCCTATCACATACACTAAACCGACGATCTAGCCTCGGATGAGACACCATCATATCTCCATCGAGCCTCATGCTCCGACTCAGAGACTGAAATGACCTTCGATGGAAGAAAGAAGCATTCTTCTGCCTCGTTGAGCCTCCTTCAAAATCAGCATCGAGCTCCACAATTGGATCAGGAACAGGTGAAGGGGTGTAGCAACTACAATTGTAATTAGAACCCGGAATATTGTTCAGTGTCCTTCTAATTAAGGAAACCCATTTTCTTGCAGGGGCATTATCTTCGGTTCCAAGAACATTTCCAGCATTCAGTGGCACAATCTCTTGAAACCTAAGGATTCAAATTGTCAAAGCATATTCATAAAAGAAGTAAACTACGATAGGAATAGATATTTTACCCCAAAACATATAAATCAGCTGGAGGAGAGGAATGAAGCCATTCGTCGAGATTCAAGTAATTTGGTGGTGATTTGCCACCCACATTCCATGTTGCAACAAATACGCTATAATAAAAACAATAACGTTTACATTGAGAATTTGAAAGGAAAAAAAAAATGGAAACCATGTATTGTTGGCAGTTTAATTTCAATATACCTATAGTCCTGTGTATCTGTAAATTGAGCTGCATCATAATTGAATCTTCCTTGTCGAGCTCGATCAGAATTCTTCTTGGAAGAAAATCTCTCTGAGGAATGAGAACCCATATGAGAATTAGAACAATAATTCAAGAAATGTTGGGCAAAAATGAAAAAAAAAATTGTGGTCCAAAGTGAAGGTAACCTGTTTTGCTTTTCTTTACTGTGCATGATTCCCTCTCTGAGAAGCTGGTCCTTGGTTCTCCATCACGTACTGAAAAAGGGGGAAACATTCTAAGGAAAAAAGCAAAAGAGGAAGAAAGAAAACTGGGGTATGAATACTATTTTTTGTATAGCATCATCTAAAAAAAATGTTGCAGAGCATTTCAATTAGACACAAAGTGCATTAATAAATCCTGGGGAAAAAAATTAGAATTACCTCTTCCAACAAGATCATCTGCATGAAAATCCTCAACTTTGCTCTTGACACTGAACCATTTTCTAACAAAGGTTTTAGACCATGAAAGCTGCTACAAAACAAACAACAGAGAAAAAAAGACCAAATCAGCAACCCAGAAGCAAATATCAAAAAACAAAAATAAAAAAAACAAAATTGATTAAAAAATTCTGGTTTAAAAACCTTGCTCTTCTTCGAATTAACATCTCTCATGATTTCCTCTGAGCTGCTGGACTTCTAACAAATAACATCGAGAAAAGAGAGAGAGCCACTAAATATTCTACACCAAACAGAAGAAGGAAAGAAACAAAATGGGATCTTTAGCCACTCATACAGTGAGATTTTGAGAAACAAGGGATGGGTATTGATGAAAATGAGATGGGCATTAGAATTGGAGAAAATAAAGATGGGCCCAAGTGAGAAAAAACTGGACCTTTAAAGAGAATGAGAGCACTCTAATTCGAGAACTAAGTCTCAATTCTACAGCAAAGCATCAATTTTGAAGAGAATTATAAAAGCGCAAGAACGAGCTTGAGCTCTCTCTCTCTCTCCCCTCCCTCTTTTGTTCACAAAAGCAAGGGCAGTCCTAGAACAAGGCGATGCATATTAAATGCTTATTTTATTATTTTTTATAAATTTATTTTATAAAATTATTTGATGTGAAATATAATTTTGTAAATAGGACTGCCCCAGACCCCCGCACTCCATGCAAGAAACTGACGACGGTCGAAGCACAAATTTATTGTTTACTGTCATTTGTGTAAATAACAATTAATTACGATTATGAAATAGTTACTCAAACAATTAACTATGATAAATAAAAATAAATAATAAATCTAGAGAAAATTATGTCAATGTCCCAAAAGCAATATCTTCAAGTGATGTAGCATCTTCACTTTTTTCTCATGTGGTTTAGCCCTAAGAAGTGTCACATCATGTACTGCAGCCCTCTTTAAGCAATTATTATCTGCTAACTAAACATAGAGAGAGAATAAAAAGTAAAAAAAACCTCAAAATACTCATATCTCCTCTATTCTTTCATGTTAAGTCTAATAACAGTTCATGTTAAGTCTAATTTCAGTTCATGTTATGTCTAATAATAATTCATGTTAGGTCTAATTTCAGTTCATGTTAAGTCTAATAATAATTAATGTTACGTCTAATTTCAGTTCATGTTATGTCTAATAATAGTTCATGTTAGGTCTTGTTAATGACTAAGATCAAACAGTCAATCAGATCTGCGCTGGGAGCGGTTCTGATCCGTAACTGGATCGGTCCCCCTGGGTCCTCACCGGGAAGATGTAGGGGAGAGTAATGAAGGGGCCGCTTCCTTCTCCGACTTTATGCATGACTCTTGAATGGGGGCTTGATGTCCACGCTGGATAGACAAGAAGAACTCGTGAGAGAGCGGGGACCGATTCCCCCGTGGTTCTTCCGACGGTTAAGTTAATGAAACTCGAGTGGGGAAGGGGAAGGTCAGGAACTGAGGTGGTTCTTGATGTGGCAATGTGTCGTTACAGAGGGTCTATGTGAGCTCCTCTGTGTAGATCAAGAACTATGGGTTCTTTTTCTTTTTCTTTAGAGAGAGAGAGAGAGAGAGAGAGAGAGAGGAGAGAGAGAGAGAGAGAGAGAGAGCCTTTCAATTAGATTAAGCTCTTGACCTCCCTTGAGGTTAGGAATCTACCTGTATATATCTCCGTCATGGGGATAAATGGGTTCCCCCTAGTCAAGCACAGGGAGGCGGTGGTGAAATACGGGCTAAGAGTCGAGTCATCCCTCGCTTTACAGGTGTCAACTGGCGACTGGAGGGGAAGTCACTTTGATACGGGAGAGAGTGTCTCCGTATTTTCTAGGAAGTGATTGAGAGCGTGGCAAAAAGCATATTGGCATGCTGAGTCATTCCTCGCTTTACAGGTGTCGGCTGGCAACTGGAGGGGAAATCACTTCGGTACGGGAGAGGATGTCTTTGTATTTTCCGAGAAGTGATTGAGAGCATAGCAGAAAGCACGTGGGAAGCTGATAAGTCATGAAGACCATCAGGCTAGAATCTGGATAAGGCTTGTCCGAGGTGGACTGGGATGCTGACATATGCTCTGAAAGAGAGGCTTGAGGTGGAGGTCGAGTCCTCGACTTGGTCGACAACAGAGATTGTCCATCAAGTCATCTTCATGAGTTGCCAAATAAGTGGTCGAGTGGACCCTTAGCGGGTCGTCTTTGACAATAGGGTCGGCTGATCCCGCCTTTCGTGTCGGCATGAGAGAATGTCGACTTGATGAGTCGACGGGGTCGAGACCTTTGTTGGGCTTGGACCACTAAGGTGATTGAAGCCAGTTTGTCAGGGTTATGATTGTATCATTTTGTAAATACCCGTATCTTGGATGAGTAAACACCATAACAGTTAGCCCTTTTCGCTTGGAGTCGACTTTTAGTCGGGTCCAGGTAAAATAAAATATGCTCTTACCAATACAAGCATGTTTGGGATGAGAATTTGAGAAATCTTCGTCTTATTGACATGTCTAACATCATTGGGCATCATTCTTTTCTTTACCTATCATAACTCCGCTTTTCTTAGCTGACGTCATCAAAGATCCGAAGCGTCTTTTGAAAAAATAAAGTATCATGGACATAATGAAGGGTGTCCCGCTTTTCAAGTATTGGGACGTGAGGCATTAAATAAGGGCAGCGCTTCGTGCTTCGAGTGAATCGTTTTAGATTCCGAAGCGGATCTGACCTGGTTGTTTCGAAAATTATCGCGTCCTTTGAAATCCTTCCATGCACTTCCTTGAAAGCTTATAAATGGCCTCTTGATGTTGAGAAGATTCTTTTACAAATTTTTGCTTTGACGAATTTTTGGTGTTCCTCCAAGTTTTTTAAGAAAAAATCTTCCATGGCCTCTCAAGTTTCAACCTCTGGTCGTAGTGAGGAGAGACTTGTTATTCTTCTACTTATCCGCTCAAGGGTCCATATGGACAATCTTATGGAATTGTATGATCAATACAATATCCTCCGGACTCTCACATTGGAGGTGCAAGAGATGAACGAGCTAGTGTATCGCCATGGCTAGGGTTGAGTGCTGTTGTACTTGGCCTTCTTGGAGCATGGCCTGCGGCTGCCCTTACATCCTTTTATTAGAGAGGTGCATGCTGCTCTAGGAGTCTCCCCTTCCTAGTTCTATCCGAACACAGTGGGGATTCTGGTGGCATTCATCATCCTTTGCCACCGTGTTGGAGTCCAACCAAGCTTGAGATTGCTTGGATATTTGATCAGCATGGGGTCGACTGAGAAGGACACGCATTACTTCTACCACTATAGTGGTGACTTCCAGCTTGTCTCAGATTCTTTAGATTGGACGATGATTGGAGGAGGCAATATGTGTGGGTTTATGGTGGCGACATCGTCTTTGCCTACTCGGACTGGCTAGAGGAGAATGATGATGCTTTGAGACCAGTCACCCTTAGTGATGCAAAGATGATGGATCTAGAAAGGATTTGCTCTTATGCTTGGCCACGGGAGAGCGATGCTCTATTTGATGATGTGTCTTTTCAAGCGGTGGTCATATCCATGATCTTGTCTTCCACTGGCTTCCAGGCAAGGGCAAGCCTCGTTCCTTTGTCGGCGAAAAACTACAAGAGGAGCGCAGGGACCGAGGGGTCGAGTTCCACTACCATGCCTTATAAGAAGATGAGGGAGTCTCTTAGCGCTGAGGAGGTGGTTGTCTTGATAACTCAAGCAGCCGAAATTGCCTCTGAATTAAGGGGGAGGACAAGGGTCGAGAGGCGGCACCCAATCGGATCTATTGTGGGGCCACGGTTAGCTAGAACAGGTCTGCTAGTTACTCATCTTAACTGCTTGTAAAATGTGCTGCCGGTAGATGAGTCTTTTCCTGGCGAGAGGACACCGGCCCTAGCGGTCGAAGAGGATGTTGTCATCCCTAGTCCTATGCCTGAGTCGTTTCGCCACCTTGGCAAGGACCCGATTAGGGCGGATGACGACATTGATGGGAGAGCTGGAACTCTGTCAGGCCAGATGGAGAATGGTGCTAGCGAGAGGATTTTTGAGGATATATCAAGTGTTGGCATACATCAGGCCCTCCAAGCCTGTTTGGCTCGGGGGACTTTGTTAAAGCAAGCTCTGTTCAATCGACTTGAGCATTCTCTAGAGTGCTAAGCAAAGCTGGCAAAGGAGAAGTCGGCCAACGAAGAGGCAGAAAAGAGGGTTACCGCCTTGGAGGCTGAGTTGGCTCATAAAGAAGGTGTTTGGCGTCGAAGTCTGGATGAGAAGGAAGAGCTCCTAAAGAGCTTCTGAATTCATCTCTCCAAGCAGGTGGGAACCATCGAGGATCTTCAAAGAGAGATGGTTCATCTATAGGTGGAGGTCGAGTATGAGAAGCGTCGCAAGGCGACGACTGTGGCTGAAGCTCGATCAAGTCGCCTATCTCTCGAGAAGTCGAGGAGGGACTTCGAGGAGGTGTAGTCACAACTTCAGTCATCCACAATCCTTGTCAAGGAATTGGAGGATAAACTCGTTCGTCTGGATTCAGAGCAGCATAGAAAGAGGGTGGTCGATGACTGGCGTCATGGCCTCTTGGGAAAGGTCAAAGTGGCTTTGGCATGTAAAGCCTGAGTTGGTTACTTTGCTTCTCAGATGCCTCACAACTCTCATCCTTCTCCAGCCCACTTATATCCTTTCTATGTCTCCTACTGTCTCAATCTGTTGAAAGATGTCGAGAAGAGTGGAGGCGGGTTAGATTTATCAGCGAATGAAAATGAGATCGAGCCTGTTGCTGAGGCCCCTGTGGAATCTTCTGTAGCTGCTATCGCCAGGAGATCGCTAAGCCCGACTCTCGGATCTGGTCGAGAGCTTTGAAGACCTACATGTCTCTCTTTTTTTTCTTTTTTTAGAGATATTTGTAATAAAGTTTCCTCTCATTGAATGAAAATCAACTTTTGTTTTCATTCTTGAGTTTGCCTTCATGGTTTACATTTCTTTAGCTTTGTAGCTTTGTTCTTATTAAGAATTAAAATATTAGCTGAAGTGAGTTAGTTGTAATGTGCGACCCATACTAGGGACTTATGACAACCAGTTCACCTGATGCCTTAGTTGGCTGAGCGTTTAATTGACCAAAACTTGACAGATGACTGCTTAAATTTTTAGGTCATTTAAGTATTAGCCAAATACTTATTATTCATACCTTAGGCTTATGAATACCTTTTTGGCAGAATGACAACCCTGAGATTGAGTGCCTAGGTCTTCGAAATCCCGTATGGTCGAGTGGCGACTGTGGGAGTCGACCATAGGGTTGTGCCTTGGGTTTATCCTGAAATGTACCAAGGGCTTGTTGACATGCCAACCCTAAGGTTGGGTTGCCTAGAACTTATTTGGACGTTTGGGTTTTTAATAGCCATGATGGTCGAGTAGCACTGGAGGATTCGACCATATATTGTTCCTTGGGTTTACCCTAAAGAGGTACCAAGGGCTTAAAATTTGACTGAGGAGTCGAATGCCTAGAACTCTTGAGGGTTGACTAGGTCTTTGGCAGCCATGAGGCTGAATGATAACCCT